GCCAGGTGGTGGCGGGTTTGTGCCATGCCAGGTGCAGGGTCTGCTGGCTGGGTGCTGGCAGGCTTGCACCTGGCACAGGCACCGTAGCCAGACTGTGCCCCTTTAAGGGGCCGGGAGGGGGGCAGAAGAATTTCCCTAGTTGTGCCCAGAGTGGCCATCAGGGCAAGCTGGGAAGGGCTAGCCTCCCACTAGTTCGAATTAAGCGCTACACAGCCCTTAATTCAAACTACTTAATTTGAACGAGGCGTTACTCCTCGTAGAATGAGGTTTACCTAGTTCAAATTAAGCGCTCCGCTAGTTCGAATTAAGTTCGAACTAGTGGTTTGTATGTGTAGCGCCTATTAAAGTTAATTCGAACGAACATCTGTTAGTTCAAATTAACTTTGTAGTGTAGACATACCCTTAGAAACCTACTTCCTATCATTGGAAATCATTGAGGAGATGAGACTCCAGATCATCCTCCAAACAGAGCTTCATCTACCTGGATTTCTTATTGATTGTGAGGCTAAAAAGAGAGAAAGCAACCAAAAAAATCTACTTAGGGCTAAACAAGACAACATGCTGGTCTGACAGGTAGACACCATGATTTATGCTTTTGTGACCTCGATGCAACTCTCCTTAAACCTTAGAATGAGTACATAAACCTTGAAAAAATGTCCATCTGGTCAAAAATATAGCACCCTGCTTACTAAGAAGCACCATTAGGCAGGATTCCATCACCCCAGTGTTCTAGTCAGTGACCCGACCTTCCATTTACAGACAAAATTGAGAACAAGGTTGTATGTTGAATTTTCAGAGGTCTCCAGGAGTTGGGATTGAGTTATTTTAGGCATTGCCTTTTTCTGTCCTTAGCCATGACTTTCTGTAATAGTTGCATCCTACAGGAATGAAAGATCAGTACAGAGAGTAAGATGAGAGAATTCAAGACAATGCTCTTGGGGTTTGCTCCACAGCAATGGAACTCCCAGATCAGAATAACTTTGAATATTGCAACTTTAAAATCCAAATGGAAGGGCCCATCTCTTTAATTTTGCTCGTCCTTCATAACAATAATAAATGAAGCTAAACAAGAGAGCTTAATACAATTTCTCCCTTGGGATGAAAGGAGTAAGCGCGGGGGGAGGGAGGGTAGGACCAGAGAGTGAGACTCACACAACACAACCCCGTCTATTTCTCTTGTACAGGGTTCCGATATTAGTGTTGAGTTCAGTATACAATACCTAGTTAAATAATAGAGGAGAAATGGCAAAGCTAGGGAGTGATCTTTATGGGACTCATGAAGAATCAGAAAGTTATCTTGTTTCTTGATGTGCATAATATGATGGGTTAATTATCAATGGGAAATTTGGTACCTTCTTAAGCATTTTCTAATGAAGGCACTTTTGAATTCAAGCACACTCAGCTGTGTGTTTTTGAAGCTGAAATATATTTTCTTGCATTGGATTATTGATTTTTTTTATTTTATGGACACTAATACATATTCATTTCACCTTTTGGATAGACACGGCAGATGGCGTTTCTCAAGAGCTGTTCTCTGCAGGCCTGGTTGATGGCCACGATGTAGTTATAGGTAAATTATACTTAATTTGCAATTATGTTCTTTCTACAACTTGTTGTGCTAAATGGATGCACTTCTGTGCCTTTTTATACAAAATACATTCTCTGCTTTGCTTTCCTTTACATGTGTGCACCAGAGAGCCAGCAATCCACTGTTACAAATCCATCCGTTCTCTCTGAAAGTCAAAACACTCACTGATTTAACATAGACTTTGATTTCACCAGGTGCTCTCTCCTGCTGTTACTTTCCAAACAGTAAATGATAACTTTTGTGCTAATTCCAATTTTTGTTCAACAGAAAATTGACTTTCTTGAATTAGCTACTTACGATTTGTGGATGAGATTTTTCAAAAGAGGAATTAGACCAGTACTGAAAGCTTTTGAAAATCCCACCCAATATCTTTAAGCAATTTCTACTGAAAAGGGAGAATCTCAAAGTGGTTAATTGCCCTGAGTTGTTTGGTGATTGCTTCTAAAATATTATACTCAACAAAACATGGTTGGCTACAAAAGGCTTTTTTTTCTCTGCAGAAATTGGTTTCAAGAGTCCAGTAACTTCCAGTAGATAATTTCCAGTAAATGATGGCCTGAATTAGGGCAGCATTTGAGCTCCTTTTTCTTTTCAAATATCAGAGGGGTAGCTGTGTTAGTCTGAATCTGCAAAAGTGGCGAGGAGTCCTGTGGCACCTTATAGACTAACTGAAGTGTTGGAGCATAAGCTTTCGTGGGCAAAGACCCACTTCGTGAGATGCATGTAGTGGAAATTTCCAGAGGCTGGTATAAATATGCAGGCCAGAATCAGGCTAGAGATGATGAAGTGGATCCAATCAGGGAGGATGAGGCCCACTTCTAGTAGCTGATCTGATCCAGCTACTCATCCTCCCTGATTGGATCCACTTCATCATCTCTAGCCTGATTCTGGCCTGCATATTTATACCAGCCTCTGGAAATTTCCACTACATGCATCTCACGAAGTGGGTCTTTGCCCACGAAAGCTTATGCTCCAACACTTCGGTTAGTCTATAAGGTGCCACAGGACTCCTCGCTGCTTTTTCTTTTCAGTTGTCATGGAGCAGTAAGTGAAAATGTATGAAGGGAGTTGACCTGGAACATGCAGTTTGCTGATGGCAGTGAAATATGCAGAAGATTGTGAGATCCTGCAAGCCAACTTTGAACAATGGCAACGTATTTTTCAGCAGAATGGTCTTACATCACCAAACCTATGGTCACTGAGAGAGGAGGACTCACCATAAGGGATATCACAGGCAGAGAACTGAGAAGAATGAAAAAATTTAAATACAGTCAGTGACCACTGATTCTAAGTATTTCCCTCATGAATCACGCCTGCCATTGTACCAAATGATGCAAATGATGGGAACTGACTCCACTTCTCTGACAAGATGTCAATAAAGTTCAAATGTGGACTCTCTGTAAAACGACTGTTTGACCCATATAATGTAAAGCCAGCTACATTTGTGTTCTGTCACAGAAATGAAGATGCTGAGATAGTCAGATAGTTGTTTCGTCTGGGACTGAAAACAAAGTGAGGTTGTAAGAGGCTTAATGTGGGTTGCTCCAGTTGTAGACAAGTTAAGGGAAGCTTAGCTACAACAGCGCAGACCAGAGGGCTATATTAATAGGTAGACTCTTGAAATGGTGCTAGACAGCAGGTGATCAAAATGGGAGATCAAAGACTTAGTATGTGGACTGGCTAGTTAACAGATCTCAGCTATCAGTCTGCCTTACAGCTTGGCATACAATCATGACTTGCAGAAGAAGGCTATAATCCTGAACAGGGAAGTAACAAAGAAGGAGAGCCTTGAGTTGAGGAGTATTGCACAGCATGTGGTGAGGCGGGGATGGAAAGCAGTGCCGTCTGATGGAATTGTTTTGAGTGATACAGGGCCTCTTACAATCTGGCCCTTGTGATGAGATGCCTCAGAAATTCACTGACTTGTTTGCAAACACTTTGCAGATAAGATTGCTCACATCTTGTCTGATTTTGACTCTGGATGTCATGTAAGGGGTACAGAATGTGTTGAGGGTAGTGCCTTGTCATTTTCTTTGGATCGGTTTCAGCTTTTGCAGACCAAGGATGCGGACAAGGTGCTTGGAGTACAACCAACCCATGCTCACTTGGCTCCTGCCCTTTGTGGCTTATTAAATCAAGCCGGGAAGGGACGACTTGGTCCGGGGGATTATTAATGCTTATTTTAGATCTGGGATGGTTCCCACCGCCTTGAAAGCAGCAGTGGTAAAATTCCTTAAGAAGCCTTCCCTGGACCCACAGAGTTTGAATAACTATTGCCCAGTCACTAATAATCCCTTCCTGGACAAGGTACTCAAGCAGGCGGTGGTGTTGCAACTCCAATCTTTATGGGAAGAAACAGATTATATGGATCCATTTCAGGCCTGGTTTTGGAACAGAAACCACTTTGGTCACCCTGGTAGACGACCTACCGCAGGAGATAGATGGGGGAGTGCAACCTTGTTGATTCTCTTGGACTTCTTGGCAACTTTTAATACCATTAACCTTGGTATCATTCTGGAGTGCTTGGTGGAGTTTGGTATCAGAGGCACTGTTTTTGCAGTGGTTCCAGTCTTACCTGTCTGGATGCTTTCAGAAAGTGGGAGTAGGGGTCCCACAAGGTTCCCTCTTGTCCCCTAAGGTGTTTAACATCTACATGAAACTGCTGGGAGAGGTCATAAGGAGATTTGGAGGATGGTGCCATCAATATGCAGATGACACCCAACTCTGTTTCTCTGTGACATCGTATCTGGATGTGGTGGAGACTGATCTGAACCAGTGTCTGGAGATGGAGATGGACTGGATGAGGTCGAATAAACTGAATCCCTATAAGACCGAAATCCTGTGAATCAGGAAGCCATCTGCCTAGGAATGTGGCGTGTGACCTGTTCTAGATGGTATTACACTGTCCCTGAAGGAACAGGTGCACAGCTTGGGAGTCCTTCTGGACCCTTTTCTGACATATGAGAACCAGATTTCCTCAGTGCCTAGGAGTGCTTTTGGGCAGCTCAGCTGATCCGCCAGCTGCGACTCTTCCTGAGAGAGAATGACCTTGCTACAATGATTCATGCTCTTGCCTTATCCTGATTGGATTATGGCATTGTGCTCTATGTGGGGCTGCCTTCAAAGAGTCTTTGGAAACATCAGCTGGTTCAGAATGTGGCTGCTTGAGTTTTAACTAACACTCATTATACAGTGCACCTTATGCTGGTGCTCTGGCAGCTGCACTGGTTTCTGGTATGTTTTCAGGCACAGTTCAAGGTCCTAGTTATGACCTATAAAGCCCTAAACGGTTTGGGACCCGGGTATTTGAAGGACCCTCTTCTCCCTTATAAAACTTCCTGGGGATTGAGATCAACTGGGGAGGCTCTGCCCTGTGTTCCTCCACTTATGGAGATAAGGCTGATATCTACTCAGAACAGGGCCTTCTCAGCGTTTGCTCCTAGGCTATGGAATTCTCTCCTGCAAAACATTTGCTTGGTGCCAACGCTGGCAATATTTCGGCACCAGGCTAAAACCACACTTTTTACCTGTGCTTTCATTGGTGCTTGAGTGTGTGTGTGTGTGTCTCAAAGTGGCCTAGCAGGTTTAATGCCCCCCCTTGGGGTCTTGTATTTTACATAATATACTGTTCTAAAATTTTGTAAGCCTCCTCCAATATTTTAAATAGAGAAGCAGGGTAAAAATATTTTAAAATAAAATTAAACACATGAATTTCAGGAGTAGGTGTGGAAGATCACTTCTGTCATAGTGAGAATTCCAGAAGGCCCAAGACTGATAAATGTTCTAGTGAGAGAATAGAGGTACCAAGCAGGTGTAGGAAGCCATTCTTGCTCATTTTGCTTCCAAGGAGGGACCCTTGGAGGTTTGAATTATCAGTAAGTCAAGACTGGCACCTGGGTAAGCTGGAAGCTGGCTTTTCTTACCTGGTATGCTGGCTACATTTCTTGGTCCACCTTTTCTTTGCTCTCAGCAACACAGACAAAGTTTAGGCCTCCCAGTTTCTAAAAATTGAAGTCTGTTACCACAGGGACTGTAGGGATGGGTCTCGTGTCCCTGCACAAACACTAAATTCAAATCTTTAACTATTCAACCAAATTGTTACTCTTTGATAAACAGAGATTTTCCAACTGGTCAGCATTAAAACAGATTATCATGTTTTAATCTTTACTTTGGACTGCAACAAAGAGTTGGATATTTTTAATGCATGGTGGATCTTGATTTTTATCATTCTACCTATCTATATGCCTGTTTCGTCATATACCATAATTGTCACAGATTGGCAGGGAATACCATTTGTGTAGCTGTTGGACATTTCATGACTCTACTAAGTTCTGTATGATTGCATTAAATCCAATGATTCCAAATAATGGTATTTTTGTTTGGTAAAACTAGTGCAAGCCCTGACCTTGAATCCTGCAGATATTGACTACGCCTTTTATTTTGTGTGTTGTATTTCATAATGCCCGCTTATTCATGCAGCATTTTAATGTTCCAAACATTTTTAGCCCAGTATTTTTAATGTAGCTTAATCTTTTCATATCTCACTGATACACACACATCCTGCAAACTTCCCTTTTCTTCTGCACACAAATTTTTAAAATAACTGAAAGTTAGATTAAGGCCCTTTTTACCATCTCCAAAAAAGAGCCAAACACTTTTTTCTCTAAAGACAACTTTAACACACTATCAGGTGTGAAGCGGACAGTAGGTAATCCAATTTTCTAGAGTCCTGCATAGATACAAAATTTGTATCCACATCCAATCTGCAAACATGGTCTGTGGCTATCTGCATCCACACATATAAAGCTGATAACTGTAGATAATTGCAGGGCTCTAGATAAAAAAATGTTTAATCTACATCCATTCAGTATCTACATACATGGTCCTCTGCTATCTGGATGTGGATATCCATGAATATAAAGCAGATATCACAGGTTTGCAGGGCTCTACAGATTTCACTGAGATTATATAGCATGATCGGA